CCACTGCCTTTGAGGGCATTCTAAAGGGCATTCTAGAGCGAAAAGTCAGCCTCCAATAATTTTTGATTAATTCATTTGTTCTAACCGGTTCCTATCACTTATTGGAATGGATAAGCTCTGACTTGTCAAGTTACCAGCTCAGGGATAACCACCGTATCTCTTACGGGAACTTGTAGAGGTAATGTCTGTACTTATGGGACTATCAATCGCAAGTGACCCTTATAGACGAAAGTGTTTAGTGACAGGTAGTAGCACTACGCGCACGGTGGAGAGCTCTTAAATCGACTGCCTTTAGAGCCAGCAGAACCTTCCATCATCCGGATTCCTGCTAATTATACTAGACTCGTCTGGCATAAAAGCAAAGAGTACATGGCCCAAGCCGGTAAGTTACTGTATGGGCCAAGTCGCATCCAGAATATCACCACGATTCTGATTGGGAACTGGAAGCGCGGCGCATCCTCGAAAAGAGGCATGTTAATGTTGAGGGTTTTATCCCTGGTCCTTACATAAAACGATATTTAAATAACTGGGAGTGGGGGGGGGGGGGTCGGGTAGCACACTGACTAGAGGTCGAGATTACTCATGTAGAGTTAGCGCAAGTTTCTCGACCCAAAAACTAAAATCTTGCAGTTTTGCCTTCTCGAGGTTATAAAACTCGAGACTGCTCAGCTACCCATTAGGGTTTCGTCACAACTTTCGGAGGATTGACAGATATAAATTTGGTTTCTTCATCATTGCTCTCTCGAAAAACCGAACCAGCAACCACTTGCTCCTCGACGGAAAGCACAGGCACTGCGCCACATAACGTACGTCACGCTGTACGTACCTGCCTCTTTTGTGCTCTCTTATTGCAAGGGCAAATCATTGATGAGACATATTTATTATGTTTTTGACTGTTTGGCAGCATTTCCATAGGATATGACAATAAATATAATAATATTATGCAAAAACACTTATTTGAAAGACTAGCACAAAGATGATCAATCGGATCGAGAAAATGGGGTTTTCATAGCAAAATATGAATACTTACTACTAAAAAGAGGCCGTAAATTGAATGTCAAATAGTCTGGAACTGAATTAGTGAGCACTAAAAAATGATTCAAAATTCTTCAAAAGATCTAGAAAATCATTTGAAAGCTCATGTTGTAAAGCATTAGAGTAAGTAGTAGGCACTTAGTCATTAAGATCTCATTCATACGCTCGTATTCAGTCCAAAGAGATTCTGCGATGTTGGTCGGCGTAATTCAGCTGCTGACGAGATTGGCGATAACCTACAACATACTGACATTATGATAATGTACTGTAATTTCAGGGTGTCGAAGTGGAGAAATGGACGGTGGAGAAACTATAGCAGACACGGTTTTAGGATCGAAGATATCCCGGGTTAAAGCGACCCTTGTATTCCCCGAACGGACACCATACCCTCCCGTAAAGTATCGAACATCGTGATGGGTTCATCAACTAGCACCACGTGGTCCATACAGTCGTGTTCCCTGCTGATGAAGGGGCGTGTCAGTGGGGCTGGGTCGGGCGCGCCGCCTGCCCATTTTCCAACAGTTCAAGCAAGCAAGCGACAACAGCTGATGGAAAACGACTGATACATACGACATGACACAGTTTGTCATATGCCGAAGGAAAAACAAGCAAGAAAAAACGGGTTGGGAGCCCGCGCCAAACCCACCCTTCCCATTATCCGCAGCGAACAAAACTGTATGTGAGCGTCATATCTGCCATCTTACCACCGGTAAGACGGTAGAGCGCGCCAGTTTATGCTGCTGGGCAACTAGCACGGTCGGAGCGCATTCGTCCGTAATCAATACCTATGTTGCGATGGATAACCTTTTCCAGGTTCACCGAGTATAGTAGCGAGTTTAGAGCGCGTTCATACTTTGCGATACGATCGATTGGATCGCGCGCCCTCTACCAGAGGCCCAATCGGTGCACTGCCACAACGGCAGAATTAAATTGGGCCGCGTTCACACATTTCATGAACGGGGCCCAATTTGAATTCTGTCGTTGATTGGGTTACGTGACATCTGAACTTTTGTACGTGGTCCTGTTACGAAACCCTGTGACGCAGACGGGTAGAGAGCAGCGGCTGCCAAGCATCGAAACGTACAAAAACGTATGGCGAGCCAGGAAACGGGATTTCAAGGGGAGGGGACTCCGGGGTGGGTGAGCTACTTATAGTCGGTGAAAAGCTGGAGTGAGCGAAGTCACAACGGCCATAGAGTGCCAAGGTCGACGCGTTCGAAGGGAATGAGTTCAAGTTGTCCGTAGACCCGTTGATTGGCGGTGTAGCGCCTCCAGTCGTTGTCGCGCGATGGGATCGTAGAGTATGAACGCGTTCTTACCATGCCATGGCGTCTTTATAACATAAAACAAAGTCTCATCGATCTGTCCACTTTACACAAATAAAGGCCCTGCACATTACCTACCGTGCAGGCTCCAACGTTGCCGGAGTACCCCGAGCCGGGAATCGCTGTGTCAGTTGAGGAGCGTCATCTAGGGAGCCGATGGATGCCACTCGGGCTTTGTTGGTATATGCCTGCAAGAGAAAAATTTTTATAAACCTTTCAGATATAATAAAAAGATATCAACATTGGACAGACTAACCGCGTTGTTCTGATGTGTATTTCCTGTTCTTGTATTTTCCTCTGCTTAACACACCAACAACCAAGGAATACCACAATAATCGCCTGAATTACTCATCAACTTACAAACGCCTGATCAGCACGGACCATAAAAATGTAACTTTACTTACCAAAATGATCGCTACGATGCTGAAAATTACAGTAATCCATTTGAAGAAGTAGTCTCTTTAATTCTCGATCGGCACCACGGTTGGGAACCTTTGTTCCACTCGAAACGGTATGAGTTTGGATTGTTGTAGTCGACCACAATACCACCTAGAAATCAGGAATTAAGGTGGAGCCTTAATCGCTGTGGAAGCTGTGGCGGTGTGGGTGAGGTGGAGGGACAGCTGGGGTGGCGCGGCGTCAGCCTGTTGACGAGGACAAGCGCCTGCCAAATGCATCTCCATTACACGCCCCTGCATACGCAGCGAAAAGAAGGTAAATGATAAGCTGAGCAGTTCCGTAGTCTATAAACGTGCGGAGAAAACTTAACTGAAGGTACACTACACGAAGAGCTCTATGGTGGAACAAATTTCCCTATGAAGCTGCGCCCAACTTGCAATTCAAGGATACATTCTGCCACTTCAGTGCTCGGATCCTAATAAGAGTCCTTAGACGCTGAATGAATTACCAGCGGAAATAAGAGCAGGCAGAACCTTTGAGGGACCCCAGCAAGAGGAATATTTCACGAGGCCAGACAATGTTACCCGTGAGGGCAACCAGAGAAAAGGGGTGGCAGAACAGGATAACGAGCGGGGAAGAAAGGTCCTTCTCCGGCCCTCAGAGTCCTTGTTGAAAGCCAAGTCACTAGGCATTCAAGTAATTATAAGGTTCTGAATGGAAGCTCACTGTGTAGAATTTTTCAGAAGCACATATAAGAGCCTAACTTCCCTTCCTCTACATGTTAAGCTTCACATCGCCAATTGCCGGGTCCGCTTCGAGTTGCAGAATCTAGACCAACCCCGTAGTTCTATAGGTCCTCACTGAAGAACATGAACCCTTTACAAAGTCAACTAGCGCTCAAATCGGTTCGCCATTCTAAGAGGAAATCGGATGCATGGCGATATTGGGCGAACTGGACTGAAGCCGCTTGATGTATTCGTTTTGCAGGAACCGTTTACCACTCACATTTGTATTCGTGGTCTCCTTTGATCCAGTGGGTTTGGTAGCATCCAAAGCGAGCCACATCTCCCTGCAGATATCCTGGGGCTAATGCAGGCGTTTTCATCATGTATTCCGGGTATTCGATATTGATCGCACCACAGCTATTGTCTGAAAAAATGAAAGCCGATTTATTATTGAAAGCCATCAATTTCATAGACTTAAGCGTTAGATAGACGAGGGGTCAGCTCACATTGTCTGATGGCCTCCATCCGTTCAGTGACAAAACTGTTGAAAGCATCCTGCTCCTCGAACGCCAACACCTTTGATTGTAACAGGGCGTAACTGTAGAGACACGGAACCTGAAAGAAATCATATCCTTCAGGGAAAAATGAAAAACGTGTGTTGAAATCCACTGCGCTTCTGAATTTACAGAATACTACGAACAGAAAAACCAGACAGTATGTGCTAAATTCAAGGCGAAGGCTCAGGCTACATACAGTCTATATCACGAGGCTAAAAGGGGCGTCAATAATACAGTTATAGTACCCACTGCAGGAACATGCTGAAGAAAGCAACCCTTCACTTACACTATCACCACAATCACTGATGATTGACGCTGAGTCGTCAGGGCAGTGTTTCAGACCGTACATAAGGTTGGCATTGCTTTGGAATGGTTGAAGATTCACTGAAAACTTGGAGAAATCAATTCATAGAAATCTACCGTACACAAATGAGACATGCTA